CTGGACAAGGCTGACCTTGCCCCCCTCCCCCAGCGGGTGCAGTGGGTGCTCTTCTGCCAACTGGCTGCAGCAGAGGTGGGCCAGGGTGGGCCCCAGGCATCCTCAGGATAGCCCCTCTCCTTTGGAGTGGGCCACCCGGGACCCGCTATGTGGGAAGAAGTGCTAGTACAGGACCCTGCTCCCGCCCCTGCACTGACTCCCAACTTCTGCCTTTTCTCCTCCCAGATCCTGCGGCAGTTCGAGGCTCTATGCAGAAGCCACCCCTCACCAAAGAGCTCACAGCTGGACACAGACCCCCCCTCCGCCCTCGCTGCGGGCTCAGTCCGGTGCACCCAGGACTTGCTGGCAGACATCCTGCCGCTGACAGGCGAGAGCATCCTTCAGCCTGTGAGCGTCCCGTGGCCACGCCGGCCCGCGTGGGAGAGCAGAGGGTGGAAGCAGAGACCTGCGGTCAGTCCGGTGTTGCAGTGCCAGCCTGTCCCTGCGAGCAGGAGGCGTCGAGCAGACTGGCAGGGATCCCGGGGGATACGGCGGGTGCTGCTGTGCCCTCCCGGAGCCTGTCCCTCTTTGCTGGCATGGAGCTGGTGGCCCGTCCTGGCATGGTGCTCTCCCAGGACTCTCCCCCTGCAGAGCCGCGGACACTGTCCCGTCCTGGGGACGCTGGTGCTTCGAGTCAGACAGATGCGGAGTGCAACAGGGAACCGTCTGCCTTCTCCTTTCTCAACATGTAGCTGCTATCACACTCCTGTGGGGGCTGTTGGACACAGGCTGCTTGGGGCTCTTGCCCTCCCCAGGGTGGGGTCTAGCTTGCTTCAGGTCCCCCCCCGCCCGCCCTGGGTCTCCGTTAAGGGCATGGCCCCACCGGAGCCCCCAAGCATTCCTCCACGCTGCCCTTGGGGGCGGCCAGCTGCTGACCTACAGGCCCCAGCAGGGCAGCGGTCCCCGCTTGCCCCCAGCTTTCCCCACTGCACTGCACCCCCAGGAAAAAACACGTGAGCACCTCTGCAATAACAGCCCCACCGGGGCCAGGGAAAGGGAGCTGGGACAGCGACTTCCAGGCTGCCAAGAGCTTTAATAGGATTATCATGTCCCCGTCGCTGTCTCCCCTTCCTGTCCCCGTGGGCGAGTGACCTGTCCCGGCCTGGAGCCCCACACGCTAACGGGGCCCAGGCCCAGCCGCGGCCAGGCCCACGGCTGGGAGTGTCCCCTCCCGGCTGCTGGGGGGGGG